GGTGTTGTGCTATGGGACATGCAGCAGGGTCCAAAGGCCTGTTTGCAGGAGGGACACGGGTGCAGCGAGGGCAGTTTTGCAGCAGCAGAGGGATGGTTTTCGCCTGCCCGAGGTGCTCTGTGTTTCTGGGGCAGAAATGTCCTGCGCCCCACGGTGCGGCACTGCCAAATGGGTTCAAAATTACAGGTGGGGTCTCTTCCAGGCATAGCTTTTAGTGATGCTTTTGCTTTCTGCACCACGGGCTGGTCCCCACTCCATGCAGGGAGAGGAGCAGGATGCAGGCGGGCTCCTGGGAAGGGACGGAGTAAGGTAGAAGCTGCTCATCTCAGCTGAATGATAATTCTAAGAGGCTTTATTAGAGGGGGACCCTGGTCCTTGTCACCTCCTGTCTGTGCTGATACCCCGCAGCCACCCGCATCCCCAAAGAGGGACCAAGTGGTGGTCCTTCCCTTGAGGGTGGCAGGGCCAGGGCATGGCCATGACCCCATGGGAGGCTCTGGCTGCTCCACTCATCCCTTGCAGCTCCACGAGTCACTTCTGTGCCCCCAGCACCCGCCTGCTCCGGGGTGAGGGCTGGAGGGAACAGCACGCGCCAGCATGGCCAAACCATCACTGACCAACCTTCTTCCCCCTCCTGCTCCTCACCGCTGCCGGCAGGACCATGAGCGAATCCAGCGCCAAATCCAGCCAGCCCCTGGCCTCCAAGGGGGAGAAGGACGTGTCGGAGAAGAGGGGCCGGGGGCGACCCAGGAAGAAGCCGCAGGTACGTGGGGTTCCCCGGGAGCTGGGGATGGACCCCAACAGGCAGCTCTGGCCACAGCGATGCCCTCGGGGCCAGGCACCCCCAGGTTACAGGGCAGCGAGAAACTTCCCCCACTTGCACCCCAAGCAGCATCCCCTGGGCAGGGATGGGGATGGCTGCGATGAGCCCTCATCACCTCCCTTTGGGCAGCTCCTCCTGCTGCTCAGAACCCTCCCAGAGGGCTTCACACCCCCTTAGCCCTGTAACACCCCAGACAGTGCTCCTGGCGCAGGGAAGGGCTTGGAGCCTCCCCTTGCTCCACCCCAGCCTGAACCTGCCTTTGCAGACAGGCTAATTAAAGCCCCATTAGCAAAAGCTGCTCAGAGGGATAAGATGCTACTGGAGCCTTTCCAATGCCAAACTCCCCCCCTCCTCCAGTCCTCCCGTCCCCGGGGCAGGGGGGGTTTGGGCACATTTTCCCTGCAAAAAAAAATGACGGCCGGTTTCCCTTTGCCAGGCAGCAGCACCGGCACCAAGCTGGGGTCCGGGGCCAAGAGACCAGCCAGGACCCTGTGCTAAGCCAAGCTGCTAATGCCGGGTGGGATGGGTCATGTATGAGGCCGGGTGAAGGGCACGCAGCAGCCTGCGCCT